CTTTTAGAGAAATAAATTTATCTTGGTTGTTTAACAGATAATGCAAATAAAAATTATCAGAGTGCCCTGGAAATTTCAATAAAAGGGGGGTAATCAACTGGTGACAAATGTCCCTGTAGAACTGACAATACAAAAGAACATGGGCTGTGGTTTCTATGTTCCCATGTCACAGGGGGAATATCGGGTTTCATACGGGTTTTTCCTATATTTCCCTTCCAAGTCAGCTGTGGGGAGGACATTAAATCAGGCTAGAGATAAGGTTCTCCTGAATTTGGGGACTGTAATATATAAATACAAAGCTGGTTTAGGCACTAAGATTTGGTTATTAGCAAATATATGATAAGCAAATGTAGCAGTTTATGTTTGGGATTTTATATCTAACATCCTTTGCCTTAACGTTGATCTAGCTTGATCTGACTCTAAGATTAAGATGGCATCACTGGAGAAACTATAGAGACTCAAAAATGAATAAACTTTTAGAGTATGACTCTTGACATGCTGTGCAAAGTCTCATGCAACCCTCTGGGTGGTGGATATTCTGCCCCACTTCTCTGGTAATTTCTTATTCAGTAGCAAACCTGTTTTATCACTGATGATTAGGTAGTTGTTTAAGTATGGCTAATGTGGGACCATCTGGTCAAGGAAACAGCCATACAGCTAGATAGATTTAGATTTGGACTTCATGGCCAAAAGTTTTAAAAACCAAATCAAACATTTCAATGTTTGAAATGTTTGGATTTTAGATTACAGCTTAGATTTTTTTAAAAAGCATCTATATCATTTTCCTGAATGTTCAGCTTTCTTTATCTTTTAGTATATGTAAAGGTCTACAATTTGATTACTTTTATTCTAAACAGGTTTTAAATTCACACATGTATTGAATATTGTTATGATGAAACTACAGTAATCACATTTTCTGAAATTCTTTGTGAATTTGAAAAAATTGGATTCATAGGAGCCACTTTTTTGGGGGAAAATTTTGCCATACAAAAATATATATTACAGTATTGCACATATACATCCAGAAGCACTAGGGAAGTGCAAAAAACTAAAGTAGATACATCCAGAGGACAGGTGGGTGGGTGGGTGGGTGGGTAAGTAGAGAGAGATTGATCCAGCTTTGAGTTCCTTGCTCTTCTCTACAGCTGTATTGCTCACCTGATATAAGCCTACTAGCTGGTGTTTATACTCCTATTTTTCTCTTTGTCTGTTTGCCATATAAATCCTGGTGACGCAGTATTGAGGCTACACTTAATTACATTCAGAAAAGCATTTCCTGGCAAAGTCTTGCATGGACAAATTTAAATAAGTATGTTTCCTTCATGCGATGACTGTGTATTTGTAGTTGCCTTGTATCGTGATTCATAAATAACTAAGACACCTGAATTGAAACTATAATCTATAAACTATAAACTATAATCAGTCTGTTCCTTAGAGATTGTAACACATGCACACATCTGCATCCAAAAAAAAAAATTCTTAGGGATTGGGGAAAGTATGGTCTGAAATACAGAAAAATGTAGAAACACCTTTGCTTGTCAAGTCAGTTCATATTGATCTCAACTGAGTTTATGCATTTACACTAGAAAATGGTGGCAACTAAAACAGTAAAACAATAGGCAGGTGGAAGTGGGGCAGAGATTTTTGAGCCTCTGTGGCACTTTCTGCAAGTGGCTAGATGTGGTTTCAGCATTCAGCATCAGTTTATATCATCTTTGTTCATTTCAGTGGTTTTTGTTTGTTTTTTTAATTTACTTGCTAATACCTAGGTAAAAGATTTCTACTTATTATTCAGAGAGGTACCCAGAATTCAACTAATGACAATTCCATGGCTTGGTTACCCATATGAAAATTGTATGACGTACAGACCATTGTTAAACCAGATTTTATTGCAGCACACGTATGATTTCTTTTGCTTCTGATGAAAGGGGGACGTGTACGTTTCATGTTCAGTAAGTGACATGAAAGTATGAAGAACATAGGGAAATTTAAAAAGTAGTTCTACAGTACAGCAGCCTCCAGTAAAGTCAATAAAATCTGGATCTAGGAGCTGTACAAGTCAGAAAGAATGCTTCTCCAGTCTCAAATTTCAGTGTTTAGTAAAAGAAATCCTAAGTAGTGAGAGTCCTGAAATAGGGTCTCTTTGTGGGTGTTTGTTTAAAGATATGACTTGGTGCCACAAATATTCAGGTTGCAGCTCATATTTTACCTAAAGCTAATATAACTCTTCTGTTTCTTTTTAAGAAGTTAAACTCATTTTATGATGATCTCCTATCCTGGAATTGAACTTGATAATAGTATTCTTTGCAAAATGTCCCAAAAAATGGAAATGGCCAATCAAGTGGGTAGAAATACGTAAACCTGATAGACTGTCAGAAAAATATTGTCTACACCTCAAATGGCTAATGGTTTCAAAAAGCCGCTAACAAGTTGAGTCAGTGTTGGTGATTGCAAGTGCCTGTCCTTGTTAAAGGAAAAGTAAATTTGAGCTTGCTGCACAACACAAAACAGGGGGCCTTAGGTTTCATAAAGTGTTTGAAACAAAATGAGTAAGCAGTGATTCAGGGATGCTGTGTGCTTAGCACACAGATATCCATATCTACATGATATTTGGAAACATTCTCAAGGAGAAAGGATTTTCAAGTCTTTGTAATATTCTACTCTAATCATCAAGAGACTAGAGAAAGTTGGCATTGTTTTGAGACAAAACTCTTCCTACTGATATATGCTGCCAGAGTCCCATTGCTGGCAAACTTATATAGTAACTTGGAATTATCAACTGTTTGGCTCATTCCACTTTCTGTTGATTTGTATGCTTCTACAAAAACGTGGCTTAAAAGCAGGAGGCCTTTCCATTCATGCTTTATATTTTTGCATACATTCAGCATATTTTATAAAAATGTGTCCATATTCAGATAAATTGTGAAATGAGTTTTAAAGGTCTTAAAATCCTAGTTACAATTTTTTA